GCTCGGCGGGCCCGGCGGCGCGCAAAAGACGAACCCGGAGGAGCTGTTCGCGGCGGGCTACAGCAACTGCTTCGCCGTGGCCATGAACCTGGCCGCCAACAGCATGAACATTCGCCTGCCCCGGAACGCGGACGAGTGCGAGATCAAGGCCGTGGTGCGCCTGATGGGGGATATTCGCGCAATGGATATGGGCTTCAAGGTCGGCTTGGAGGTGCGCGTCAAGGGCATCGAGCAGCCCGATCTCGAGGCCGTCGTGCAAAAGGCCAAGGAAATCTGCCCGTATCACCGCGCCACGCATGCCCAGGTGGAAACAGACATTCAGGTGTTTAGCGTCTAATAATATTTATACAAGCGCTAGAAATGACGAAAGATGTTCACGTCGTGCTCATTCAGACGGTGCGCAGACGCAGTCAGGTGAAAGGAATATTCATTGCTTTGCCGCCAGGAACTGATACTTGCACATTATGAATTTCGGAAATTCAGGTCCTTTCAGTTTCGTCCAACTAATAAAGTGCCGAGTGAGAGTTGGCTGCGCTATTCACTCGCATTGCGTCTAATGTCTCCCAGGGCCCGTATCAACCAGCCCTACGCACTATGCCGGCCGATGGCGATCGATTTCTAGAACACGATCCACCTACCTGGGCCCGAAGATGGCTAACTTGGATGACGTGCATCCTTTACTGAGAAATTGGTTCACATGCTTATACAAAATGCCTTCGGGCGACTGCCATTTACATTGAACAACCTTTTGTTGCTGCGACAAGTGCCTTTGGCGGTGTTGCGAATGACACCCCGCCCCCATGTCCGTGAAATTAATCATGAAATTCCTGGACTGGTGAATAGCGGCAAATTAGCCCAAAATGAAGTGTATTTATGCACCGTCATCGTTGTCCTGAATCGGTAAGCACCATGTCCGGCATTTGCTGCCCAGATGGACATGGCGCTTACGCTTACAGCGTCGTTCATTCTCAGCGGGGGCTGCATCAACGTTTTCAAGGCTGATAAGTAGTAAAAAGGGCCCTTCATCCCAAGTTTGTTCCGATATGACGCTCGTTAAAATTAGACGCGATTAGGCAGAGCGACGTCCGCCTGTTTCATGTCCTCGTTTGTGCAGATAAACCGCGAGGAAGATTGGAAAGAGCCATGTAGGCTCCCCACGGTGTAGACTGTTGGCGGATGTGTTGGTTCCCAATCCCGTGCAAATGCCGATGCGATGATTCCAGACAAACAGTCACGGTTTTCATTGACTGGAAAGGATGGTTGCAGCGGTAGAAAAAATGCACGAAAGTCTACGTATGATGCCTGGAAAGCGTACACGACGCGTGTGAGCCAGAGACGGAAACGTTTCACTTCAACGCAGCAAAAGAGCCCGGCCCTGGACATGTTGATAACTAGAAGGAGACGCATTCTTGAGGAGACAAAAAACACGAATTAAGCATATTTCTAATCGCCCCTGGCCAACGTGGATGCGGCATGGTAGTGCGCAACGGGTCCTGTCAGCAGTAGTCGGTGGATTGGACGAGCAGTCTCACCCTTGCCCGCCCACGCCATCTTGCTCTCGGGATGTCAAACTGCGTCGCGAAGAAATATGGTTGGCCCATGTTCCGGGGTCAGCCCAAAAGGGCATAATCTTGCGCCCGGTGTTGTGATATTGTACGAGAGTCGCGTGGCCCTACCTATCTATATACGGCTCACCTCTCCAGCTACCAAGCCCATCCCCTTCACATGTACTCTCTTTTAAAGCACCGTCGCCACAACCAATCCCTTGGTCTTTGATACGAATCAATAAAGTTTACTCACACATCTCACAATGAAGGCGCTCTTCCTCGCCGCCTGCGCCCTGGCCCTCGCTGCCACCGCCAGCCCGCTCTTCCCACGCACAAACACCTGCGCGCAGGGCTCCAAGCCGCCCTACGGCGCGCTCACGCACAGCGCCTGCCCGTGCTGGCACTGGTACAAGATCCAGGCCGGCGACGGCGACTGCGGCACTGTCGCCGCCCGGTTCGGCGTTGCCCGCGCCGACATCATCCGGTGGAACCCGGACGTGAGCGCCACCGTCGACGGCACCTTGTACGACTGCATCAACTTTTGGCCGCAGCAGCAAATATGCGTCGGTAAGCAGCAGCCAACTCCAGATACTATCCGAGGGGGAATTCTCGGCTGACATTTGGCGCAGGCATCACGCCGCCCAACCCGCTCCCCGCGCCGCCGTGCAACGCCGACCCGCCGTACCCGGTCGGCAGGGGCACCGTCTGCGGCTGCAAGACGTGGTACAAGATCCAGCGCGGGGATGACTGCGGCCCGGTGGCGTCTCGGTTTGGCATCTCGTCGGACCAGCTCGTCGGGTGGAACCCGTGGCTGTCGGCCGATGTCGACGGCACGCACTACCCGTGTATCAACATGTGGCCCACGGATAACCTTTGTGTTGGTGCGTTACTCCTGTCATGTTGATGCGTGGTCTAAATACTAACATTGTGTCTCTAGCTGCTTAAGTCTCTACGACAGCGAAAGAAATCCTTGATATTTTAGCGTTTTTACAAAGCATCATACTTGTATATACTTGCGGCTGCTGGGATCAGCAGCCGAATTTTAATGTGATGCGTGGGCGGGCAAGATGCTCCCCAACAGCCGCTAGACGACTATATATACTCTTCTATCAATACCATGAGACAACTACCAGAAATCATGCTACAGGAACGCCTTGCCAATCCACTGGCTTTTTAATGCAGTGTCCATCTCATCATGTCATGTGAGTATTATTTCGTCTCGAAACGACACAGCTCTCATGTTTAAAGAAACTCGGAAAGGTCTGCTTGGTCGATGAGAAAGTCATAGGTGCCCATGAAAAAGTTACTCGCCGGCTCCCCAAACATGCTCATGACATCATTCTCCTCGGCCGGCAAGCTCAGCGTCGGATCCTGCAGCGCCGGCTGCGCATCGGCCGCGTCAACCCCAGACACAGCAACCGGTTCCGGGGCGTCCTGGAGCTTCATCTTCTGCACCAGCCCGCGCATGCCCTTTGTCATGCTCACGAGCAGATGGCGCCTGTGCATCTTGGCCGTGACCTTTTCGAGCGCGGCGACCGTCTCGGCAATGAGGGGGCGGATCTCGCGGGCGTCGACCTGGACGAAGCCAAAGTACTTGGCCGAGACCTTGAGCAGGAAGACGACGGAGAAGGCGAGCATGGTGCCAAAGTAGATGGGCAGGCCGTCGAAGAAGGACTGCAGCTCCTCGTCGGCGTTGACGGAGCGCAGGATGGCCATGGCGGAGCGCACGGCGCCGTTGGCAATGTCGTCGAGCTCCAGCATGACGTCGGGCGACTGGGTCTGCATGCGCGCGGCGCGGGTGGCGCTGCCGCGGAAGGCGTGCGAGCACAGGTACAGCTTGGAGAAGTGGTACTGCAGCGCGACGCCCTTGCGGGGGTAGTTGCCAATGTGCGGGTTCGGTGCGAAGCGCTCCATCCACTCGGCGCGCAGCGTGTCCATGGCGATGTTGTACCGGCGGAGGGCGGGCAGGTCCGCGTTGGCGAGCGGCTGGTTGACGTCGACGCCAAACGAGTCGACGGCGTCGGAGAGCACGGTCCAGCGCAGGACGTGGCTGACGAGGCGCGCCGTGTCCTCGGTCGTGTGCGGGAGGTCGAGGAAGCGGCGCACGCTGCGGACGGCCTCGCACTGGCGCGTCAGCGGCGGGCGGCCAAACGGGATGCTGAAGTGGTGGTCGCAAATGTACACGAGGTAGTACAGGCGGGCGTGGAGGTAGGCCTGCTTGTCGCCGCGCAGCGCCTTGAAGAAGCTCTTGTGCAGGTGCAGCTCCGTGGCCATGCGCACGGCGGTGCCGACGAGCGTCCAGGCCACCTCGCCGAGCCAAAAGGCGCCGATGCAGAGCGCGCGGATGTCGTCGACGCACACGTCCCGCGAGAAGGTCTGCGACGCGCACTGCGAGAGGAACGCGGCGCAGCACGCCTGGTAGTCGGCCGAGGCGAGGTGCAGCGCGCCCACCGTGGACACGGCGGCGACGAGCAGCGGCGAGGAGGCGCGCGCATCGGCGAGCGTCCGCTGGGCGCCGCCGTCGCCGAGGATCCGGTAGGGGAAGTGGTCGAGCCGGGTCTGGTACGCGTCAAAGTAGCGCTGGGCGGCGTCGGGCGTGATGATGCCGCGCGAGATGATGTCGTCGCTGCGGTGGGCGGGACGCGGCTGCGACTCGCCCTGGGAGATGTAGAAGCCCGGGAGGGAGCCTGGGCTCGACTCGAGGTCCATGACGATGCTCCAGTTGTTGCCGGTGGGGTTGGCTTCTTTGAGGGCCTCGGGCGGTGCGGTGCGCCGCTCGGGGTCTTCGGACGCGAGGGCCGTGTCGTCGGCCGCGTCCACGGCCATGGTGGTGTCGTCGGGGCTGTCCGCATCGGCATCCAGCAGCTGCAGGATCTCGGCAGCGTTGGCGTCGCCAGCAGCGCTGGTGCGGAGAACGGCCTCTATGCGGTCGATTCTCCGTTCCATTTTGCCTTTCCAACTAGGAGACATGAGATTGTAAGCAACGCGTGGCTGTACTGGTGCAAGCTGTCAAGCACGTACACATTGTCATTCTCGAGCAGCATCTGCAGGCTGCGATTGACGGTGCACGGCAGCCCACGCTTCTTGCAGCGGGTGCAAGGCGGTTGCGCATCTTTCATGTGGCATTTTATCTAGCATATAGTGAGTAATTTTGAGGACCAAGTACACCATTAAAAGTACACTACCTTTTGCTTCCGACATGCGACACAGGCGGTAATCTTGCGTGTAATCATGGGTGTCCCACGGGCGGGCTCTTCGCTCGGCCTTGCCGCCGACGCGCGGCCGTTAGTCGATCCCGGCATTCCGAGCGATGGACTGATATATCAGGTCGAGATGGACTATATAACCCACGCGAGCCCCAGCGGAGAGCCAAGACAAGCTGCACACAGCGTGTGAGACGACTGGGCTGCCAAGTGATGCCGCGTGCCGTCGGAACCCTGCAGCGGTACACTGGCGTGAGACTATTGGGTGTAAATCTCCGAGGCTACGCGGCAAGATTGTGAGATGCTGACGGATGAATTGGCGTGAGTGTGTCTGGGCAAAAGTGTAGATACCTAGGCAGGGCTTCAAGCCGATCCCCCCACACGGGCTTCTCGCCGAGTTTTTCGCGAGGAGGACCGTTTCAGCCTAGCGCAAAATGGAAGGGATAAGGGATGCTCAAGAGCTAACTCTAGTAATAATACTTGATTTACTTCTTGCTCTTGTAGGCATTTTTTATCAACTTTTATTATTTCTGAAAGACGGGGCGGTGATTCAAGGAAAGAAATCTCCAAATATACGCACGAGCTAGTTGGTATTGCATCTCGAAAATACATACGGGCTGATCTCGGTGGCCTGATCTTCGACAAGACCTGCGAGGTCACGTCTTCCCATTGCTGTCAGCGTGACAGCCACTGGATCTGTCACTGTTGCTCGAGGCAAAGGTCTGAGCGGTGATAATGGCTCCGGTCCAAGGACCTGGCAGCGAATTACTCCAGGGCTGGTCGCTTGAGCTCGGTTGTCGACGAAACAGATGACACAGCCGCAGTCACGAAGCTTGGGCGCCTTGGGGACAGGCGGCAGCTTAAAGATGGCATATCGCTTCCACCTGTGAACGCGGCGAGCCGTCCTTCTCTGGACGCCATTCCTATAGATATCCCGATGCGCCATTCCATCGTCAACTGGCCCCTCCGGTTGACTCGCTGTCAGCCGGGTTCCGTCAAGCTTCTCTCGTTCCATCCTCATCTCCCCAAGGAGGCAACGAATCTCCGACGAAAAGGTCTCATCGACATCAGGTGCATGTTCAATGACGGCGCCTTCTCTCAGAAGACGGTGCGCAAGGTACAGATTACCCCGGCGGCATGCCTGTTGCAACGCGCTCGCATTCTCGGCAGCCATGTCCGAGGCGTTGAATTCGCCACCTTTGGCGCGAAGCATGTCGATGATGCTGCTCTCGCGAAAGACGCGACATGCCATTTCCAGCGCCGTAAACCCCTCCTTGGTCCGAGAATGTACATTCGCTCCGCTGTCCAGTAAGAGCGCGACCACACGCTCCTGGCACTGGACAGCAGCTCGATGAAGTGCGTCGCCAACGTGCAGATACCCCGATTCGTCCATGTTGGATGGGTCTTGTCGCAGCTTCTCCAATAGCACCTTCACAACCTTGACGTGGCCAGAAGAACACGCCGCTACTAATGGGGTGCCGGCGCTGCCCGAACAAGCATGGATGTTCGCCCCATTTTCAAGAGCTATCCGGACCTGCCAATAGTTTCCGGACTGGGCAGCCTGGTAAAGCTTAATGTTGACCAATGTTTGTGACCAATTTGCCACGCTCTCCAGTTTATAGTATCTCTTTCCGAACACTAGAGTCGATTGCACGGGGCCCGATCTGACGTCGCTGCTGAAATAGCTAGGAAGTATGTTTTCGCGGTGAGACTCGCGGCATCGGTCGTCGTTCCAGGTTGTGCCATGATTAATAGCAGCCATTGCTGGCTCGTCCCTGCCCTCTTCGTCGTGGAAAGAGGTCCGGGTATCATTCCGAGCATCCGAGGTAGGTACAGGCGTTGCTTGTTGGACACCCTTCAACCACTCCATGACTCCGATGTTCGACTCGATTGTTGTGTTTAGTTGCCTGCCGCCAAGTTCTGGAGTTGTAGGATACCCGAACCTGTTTGGCATGAAATCTTGCTCGTTTAGGTTTTTTATTGCGGCGGCTACGTCTGCCGGTGCTTTTGCCAGCCACTCATAGTAAGTCATACCCAGGAGCTCACTTCGATCTAGGCCCAGCTCCTCGTCAATCCATGTGCGCGCAGCGATTTCTGCGGCCGGGTCGTCGGCCACGACGAGCTGGCATTGCGGGTATAACCCCCCGTGTATGGCTCGCAGCTTGGCTGAGATTCCTTTCTCGCCCTCATCCCAACGCACCAACTTGGCCGTCTCGTGGGATGCCTTGTACTTTGCGTCTGGCGTGATGACGTCTGGCAGACGGGTGCACGATGCAAATATGAGTTGTGGATGTTTCTCGCGCAACTCCAAGCTCACATCAATCATGGCTCGGTCGACGCGGCTGTCGAAGATGACATCAGAGTCACTCAGGAGCGCCCCCGTCAAGGGATTTCTTGCCGTTCCAGTAGACTCGTCGTATCCCAATCCGAGTCCGCTGTGAACAATCTCAAGAATGAAGTTGTAGGAGCCAGCTCCTACTGCGACAAAGGATAAAACTTGTTTCATAAGGGTTTGACGGATGTGTTTGTAGCTTTGTCTGTCCCCCTGAGCATCGTCAATAGGCGTTGTTGCGCATGCGAAGTCGACTAGCCACTTAGCATGGAACACCATCATCAGCGGCGGAAAGACATGCAGATGTCTGATTTCAAAATAATCTGACCCAAACGCATGTATGCTCTTCCTCTTTACGTCTTCTTGCAGATCGTGAAAACACCTGTAGTGCTTACTGTAGCCCTTCAGAATCGTTGATTTGAACCAATTCCAAGCCGTGCTATTATGGACACCCTGCATACCTGGATACAGCAGGCGTTTCTTGGAGATATGATAAGAGTAATAGGCAATAGCCTCGGCAAAATCTTGCTCCCTGAGGTCGATTTGTAGTGTGATACCGGTTTTGTACTGGCTTTCTTTCCACATTAGATCAAGTAGGCTGGGGATCTTGCCTGCGGTCGGCAAGTACGAGGTGGCGAAATTGGATCCGTCGATATCAACACTTCGTGTCACTAGCACCGTCTCTAGAATATTGGAGATGGAATACCGTTCCCAGCCTTGTGTTTTGGAAGTGACGCGCCTTGGGTTATAGTCATGAGCCGTGAAGGCATCCTGGAACTGTTCCAAAACTATGGCATCGGCCTCGTGCAGAAAAAAGCCATGGCGAATTCCATTATCGATGGCTTCCGTTGAGTTGTCGATAATTCCAGCGACACGCTCATAGAGCCCACGATGGCAGAATACTTGGCCAAACTTGTGAGCCAGTTTGAAAGGCCCGGGTAGCTTGGAGTTGAGTAGCTTCTTGGGGCAATATCGCTCCTTTTGTCGTGACCATTCATAGTTTTTGGGGAGATCGGGATAATTTCGATGATGAATGAATAGCCTGGAAATAGACGCCGGATTGGCGAAATCAGAAAATGCATTGTCTTGCTCCATTTTCGAGAGAGACGAGGCTGGAGATGGAGGCGGCCTTGCATATAGAGAGAGCCCAGGCGCTACTTCTGTGACCTCGTTGGCTTGGCAGTAAGTCTAAGCTGTATGTATCAAAAAAGCAGTAGATCATGTAGTGCGGCATGCCTAACGTCAACAGAGTCGTTGTTTGTTGCAGTATTATTGCAGTCGGCAGGTGTACCTCGACCGGCATATATGAGATGTTGGTTGTTATGCCTCTGTAAGCACGTCTGCAAGGCTGGCCTGGGAGCCTAATATGGCCCATTTTCTTGCATCTTGAGTATATTCAGGTGCTAGAATACACTTGGCCGACATTCATTCCATCGCTAATGTGATACAGCCTCTCCCCAGCTCAGCAAGAGATCGGGCGGCGCCTACGTGACGTTTTCTCTTCTTCGGCTGGCTGCCTACTTTTGCTGCATAGATGAGCCTGGTGAGCGGGCTTCCCGGGCCCTGCGCCCAACATGGGTGAGTACCTGCAAAACACATTTTTCGGTCGCTTCTTTGACCCGGTCGCTCGACAAGTGTTATCTCGATGCATGTACGAACTGGTCCCTTTTGGATGATGAGGGCCCTCGCCGAACACACCTCTGGACGATAGTGGCGGAAAAACATACTGCTTTGTAAATCGCATTGTTCACAGCGTACAGATAAAAATACTGTTTAGATATCTCTTGGTTTTCAAGTTCGCTTAGAGACGGGTCTCGCTGTCCACAGTATTAACGATCCAATCACCTGGCATTCCGACAAACAAATCATCTCCAGTGGCGCAGCCCATAAACGATTGCGCTCCAGTATAGCTTCATTCTAAACTATACTGGAACCGATCACCACCCCCACCAATCTTGTGTCTAGCCCCAGACTAGCAACAGCTGCGCCTTGTGAGAGGGCCAGCCCGTGTTCGATGGGACAGAAACTCTAAGTGTTCATGACGACTCAGCCCCGTGCTTAAGCAATCTCAAGTTTTCTTCAGCAACCGCGGACCAGAGGCTGCCTCCAGACAAACCTGACCTCATCCATAGCTGCGATGTGATGCACACAAGTATAAAAGCTGGCCAGAATCACGAATCGAAATGTGAGCAGGTGTACGCAACAATTCCCTCCAAAACTAACGCAAAGATCCCAAGATCACCATGGCTCACCGTCTAACCACCTTCTTCCGCCCTGCCGAATGGGACCGGCAGTCGGGCGTCATCATGGCCTGGCCAGCCGCCGCCAACGACGCCTACCTCGACGACAAGCAGGGTCTCAAGGACGTGACCAAGGACATTACAGCCATTGCCTCGGCCGTTGCGCTCTTTGAGCCCGTCACGCTCGTCGTCACGCCGGAGCGCCTCGCCGAGGCCTCGTCACGCTTCAAGCACGCCAAAAACATCACGCTCCTCCCCGTCGATGGCTACCCCAAGCTCGACCTCTGGATGCGCGACATGGCGCCGACCTTTGTCGTCAACGACGACGACCGCGCCGCCCAGCTTCACGCCGTCGACTACAACTTCAACGGCTGGGGCAACAAGTATCCGATCGGCACGCCGCCCGCCTCGCTGGCGCGCCTCCTCGCCGCCCGCCGCGGCATCCCCGCCGTGCCGTCACCGCTCGTCGCCGAGGGCGGCTCGCTCGAGGTCGACGGCGACGGCACGCTGCTCGTTACCGAGAGCTCGGTGCTCATCGCGAACCGCAACCCGGGCTGGGCGAAGCCGCAGGCCGAGGCGGAGCTGCGCCGCACGCTCGGCGTCGACTGCATCGTGTGGGTGCCAGGACGCCGCGGCCTCGACGTCACCGACGGGCACGTCGACGGGCTGGTGCGCTTCGTCGCGCCGGGCCGCGTGCTGCTGAGCCGCCCGTGCAGCACCGCCGACCACGCCGACCCGTTTGTGCAAATGTACCAGGAGGCGTACGACATTCTCGCGCGCGCGACCGACGCCCGCGGCCGCCGGTTCCACATCACCGAGGTCGCCGAGGCGGACCTCGACAAGATGTACGTCGGCCGGCAGATGCGCAAGGACATTGAGAGCGGCCAGGAGGACTACCCGTCGCTGACGTACGTCAACTACCTGCTGGTGAATGATGGGGTGATTTTTCCGCAGTTTGGCGACCGAAAGGTAGACAAGGCCGCGCTCAAGATTATTCAGGACGTTTATCCGGAGCGGGAGATTGAGCCCGTCGCTATTTACGAGCTGCCCTTTTACGGCGGCGGCATCCACTGCTCAACGCAGGAAATCCCTGTTCCGAGAGATTGAACAGATTTTTATAGTTTCTACTACAATAACGCTTAGTTTTCCATCCTAGTCGGAAAAGGCTCAACATTGGGCCGCGTACAGTGAACAGTTGTTGAATACTTATTGTACGAAAATACTTTGAACATTGTTCGCCATATTAATCGACTATTTGCCAGGCCTTGGCATATCTCGGCATATAAAACACGCCATCGAACCCGAACCTTGCATTAGCTCCTCAACGCAAGCTAGTAGAGCCCGATCCAGGACTTGTGCATCCAGCTGCGCACCTTGTACCGGGTGCGGTTCATTCCGGTGCTCGATGGATCCTTTGCATTGTGCATTATTCCATGAAACGGCAATTGTGTCTCGGACCCTTTTTAACCTTTCTTTTTTCACCAAGGAGCCGCCCCTGGAGTTGTCTCTCATGCTCCTGCTATTCCTGACCTGTCAGGCTGTCAGACATGTGATCCCTACCAGACCTCGGAAATGCCAGAACCCAACGTGGGGAAGCAACTTTCGAGTACAGATTACGCTGAGGGAAGATCCCGCCTCATCTATTTCCGGGTCCATAGTACGTATGTATGTACATACATACGTACCTTACCACGACGACATGGACAGAGCGGCTGTCATTCACTACAGCAATGTTGTCTCAGCCTTGTTGTCGTCAGAGTTTGGTGCTGTCGCTATCCCTACATGTTGCGCTCCTTTCTGACCTTGACAACCATGAGGATAACCAAGAGGACAACCCCAGGAACAGAAAGCCAGTCCAAGAGTAACTAGCAATAGCGTCAAGTCAAAGCGCGTACTAGCGGGACCCTGATGCACCTGGCAATCACAACGAGCCATCCAAAGGAAATGCAATTCCCGATTCGGCCCAGTCGACGCAGGAGCGGAGGCACATTCTCAATCCACATGTCCCGCTTCCCTTGTTGGGATTATCCGCATACCTTATTCTTGTTCGGGGACCGGACGGCTTCCTACTGGCAACCCGCCGGGATGGGCCCGCGAATAGGCTGGAAGAAGCAACAGTACGGATGCCCAACCTTGGTATTTCGCCCGAGACAGAAGGAAATGCAAGCTCGTACGGTCAATGCGAATTGAGGAAATCCTGGTCTGCATTTGGGCTTACTGGTGCCTGATGGGAGCTGAAAATGCAAACCTGCGGAGATGGAGATGGTGCCATGTACACCGGCAATCTTGCTGCTTCCGCCGCCACTGCGGGGTATGTAGTTCTGGCCGAGGGGGGCATTGAGTTGGCCAAGAGCTTGGTATTGTCAAGGTAGATACATACCTCTCTTGCGGACTCCTCTGCTATTCAAACATGAGGCTATCCGAGGTTCCACGACTGCGCTGATCGCCCAACTGCCGTGCCTCCCGCCGCCGTCCCACACCTGCGAGCAGTTTCTTCCCGGAGAGCATGTGTATATAAAGAGCCAGGTATTGCAGCATGAATATGC